CGCAGAGCATCCGAAAGTCCAGATTTTGCATGGTCGGCGAGAGGCCTTGGCGCCGCATTGTCTGTCGCGCGCCCGCCATCCCCTGTGCTGCGCCAGTTTTTCACCTGGTCGTCGGCGATCGCCCGCGGGTGCGCCGTGATTGCGCGTCCAGCTTTGATCTGGGCATGTGCTCACGGGGGGGCCTGCGCTGGTCCAGTGGCCGCGGCGCCCCTCGCCCAGGCCATGAACTTCTCGACGTGCCTCGTCGTCTGTCCAGGGCGCCGGCGCACGCCGGGGGGGAATCATCCAACACCTGCAGACACAAGATACATTGAACTGGATGCGTGTTGCAGGCAAGTTGGATGATACCCCATGCCCCCTCAAAGTCAGTGTTGCCAATGGCGGCGCGCGCGTTCCGCCTGCGCCCTGGTCGCAGCACCAGAGCGAGATGGGGCCATCTCGCATGCGCCGAGGGGGCGCCCTGAACTTGAAGGTTGCGAGATCAGACCTCTCCAGTGCCGCTTGATCCCATGGCTGCTCTTTGGAAGCTCTGGACCTGAAGGACTGATGCAGGCTTGGATCAGCAGCATCGGTCGGCTGGGGCCCTGGGGGTGGGCCACGGAAAAGAGGGGGCGCGGCGGCGTCGCGCGACGGCGCGGCCTGGTTCCTATGAGATGGGGCGGCACCCTCAAATGCAGTGGCAGATCAGGGAGGGGCCTGTCACCAATGAGCCCCCCCATCTCCCCCTGGATCTCCCTCCGCTGTCTCCGGCGCTGGCTTGCGATGAGCCGCCAGAGCGGTGCGTCGCGGATGGCCGGCGGGTCCAGGTGGGAGACGACGTCGCGCCGAGGTTTCAGGCCTCGGCCCCCGATGTCGGCCGCGAGATCTTCAAATGTAGCACCTGCGGGCTCGATAGTGATCCGCGCCGCGCGTTGATGCAGCCTGAGGCATTCCATGACATAGGGGGCGCACGGCGAATTCCACGCGTGGGCTCCTGACTCTGATTCGGAGAGGCCAGGTGCTCATAGGGAAGCGCCTGCAACCACCCCGTCGCAACTATTCTTCGGGATCATCGTTATCGACCTCGCCGGGAGGTGGTGGTCGACCCATGGCCCAGGGGCAGAGAGTGCTGTCCAGCGATCCAGGACAATCGGTTGACTCCCAGCCGCCTCAGATACCGCGTTCGAGATGGCTGCCGCTCCACCAGCTCCTTCTGGGCAAGGAAATCGACGCGCAACTGGTGCAGCTCCTTCCCGCGGAGGCTTCTGCCGCGCCTCCAGCCTCGCCTTGCCGCCGAGTCTCCCAGGCGACGCGCCTGCGGAGGGGGGGGCCTCCGCGGGCGCGGCGAATGCGCCTTTCGACGCAGTCGTGATCGCACTCGACCCAGTAGGCGTAGGACGCGATGTAAGTTGAGCCTGCTCGTCAGGGTACTACGGGCAAGAAGATCGTCGCAAACCTGGTGCCGCTCCTTCCCGCGGTGGCTTCTGCGGCACCTCCAGCCTCGCCCTGCTGCTGGGCCCCCCCGGGCCTGCGGGGGCGGATGAGCCCCCCCCCCCCCCCCTCCGCCCGAGCCCCCCAGCAGACGCGCCCGCGGGGGGGGGGGGGGGGGGGGGGGGGCGACGCCGTCGCGGGATCAGTGAGTGCGCCAGTCGACGCAGCCGCGATCGCAGTCGATCCAACAGGCGTAGAAATCGATGTCAGTTGAGCCTGTTCAGCGCCAGTAGCAGCCGAGAGCTGCGCGTCATCGGCGCGCTGCTTCGTAGACGTTGCGCCATGCTCGTCAAGAAACTCTGCAGCCAGGTCAGGAAACGTTTGCCCCATCGCACGAATATGCCTTGCCTCGCTTCCAGCCGCAGGGCGCGGCCCCGTCGTGGGGCCTCCAAGCGGTCTCCGGATGGACGTGGCCCCGTCCGCTCGCCCTCGGTATGACTTGAGTTCCGTGACCTGATAGATGCAGATCAGCTCGCTCCCCGCGCGCGCGATGAGATGAACTGGCCGCGGAGAGCATCCGTGCATCCTGCAGCTTCCGACTTGGTCGCCGGAGGTCCTGTCCGCGCATTCCTGTCGACGATGTCCAAATGTTCTGGCGCGTCGATGATCCGCTGGGGAAAATGGCACCCCCCCGTAGCAGGCGGCCCCTTGGGGCAACGCCGTGGGGCCGTCGCGCGGAGGATCTGCGTGGTCTTCGGCCGGGCCCCCGCGCGCGCGGCGACAGGCGTGCGAGGCCTCGCTGGCCAAGTGGCCGCGGGAGCTGGCGAGCTGCGCGCCACATCGAGGCCAGGCGAGGGAATGTAGGAGTTTATGTTATTGCATGTGCCCTTCGTCGTGCGACGCGCACCCTCCTCCTCGGCATGGGGCAGAGCGCCGGGTGTCAGCTCGGGCAACCCCGAGGCGTGTAATTGGCGGAGGGGCGCGCCGCGTTGCACGCGAACTCCACGTAAGCAGACCCCGCCAGCAGCCCGCCTGCATGTCCCGCATCAACGTGTGTGACCACTGCCCAAACTGGTGTGACCTCATGGGATCCTTTGCCATCGGGTCCTTCGACTACCGTGGCAGGGGCGTGAGAGCGCGCGAAAACTCCGGCACCGGCACGCGGCGTTCCCGTCGGCAGCCCGCGACATGCTGCGATGAGAGCTTGCCGGCAATGGTGGAGAGGCCGCGGCGGCGCCTGCGAGAGGCGCCCAGCATCAAGTCTCCACTCCTGAGCGCAGACAACATTGACCCCCGCCGTACCGCCCGCCAAAACTGTTCTGCAAGTATCCCAACGAGAAATGTTGAAGGTGACGACTGCAACGTTCCTGCGCTTCGATATTCTGGGGGCTCTAGTCCTGTTCGGCGCCCGCGATCTCCCAGGCAACCTGGTCAACGTGCTAGACTTCGCGTGGCACAGCTGGAGGTGAATTGCGAAAAGCGGCCGACTGCCCTGCGATGGGGGCAGGCGCTCCAGGTCCAGGTGGGGCTGTCGCAGCGACTCCTGGGGTGGCCGCTCTCTGGTGTTGGCGACCTGCTGCTCGATGGTGGCGAGGAGCTGGGCGCCATCGATGGACGAAGCACCCGCGCGCGCTGCGTGCAGCGCTGCTTGAAGCTGTTGAACTGCAACAGAGGCGCTCGCCAGCCCTGGCGCCGTTGGTGCAGTGGCAACTGCCGCGACGGCTGACTGGGCCTTGGCCACCTCTGCGCTGCGCTGAGAACTGCGACATCATTCTCGAGCCTGGTGAGCTGCTGCTTGGCCTCGCTGAGCTCGTACTCGAGCTGGTTTACCTGGGCGGTTTCCTCAGAGCGTGCCGACTCCTCGGCTGCCCATCGGTCCTTCGGGCCCCGCAGCAAGTTCGATGGGGTCCATCTGAGAACGAAGCGGGCTCAGCCTTGTCCAGGTCGGCCTTTGGCGGCGATGCCGACGTCGTGCTCGTCGCCGTAAATCCTCCGCAAGTCCAGCCAAGCACGCTGGGACTTGGCGGCGGCAGACTGCTGAGGACTGGCGTCATGAGCAGCCTGAGCAGCAGCGGAATGGATATCACCACGATCGTGCCAGGGCGGGTCCTTGTTCTTGGACTGTTGACGCCTCCTCGCGGCCGCGCTCGGCGAACGATTACGGACAACCGATGGCTTGCCGTCCCTGTCGCGGCCGCATGCCCAGCACGTGGTCATCGTAGCGTAGTTGTTGCGAAATCCGCTCGGCCTTGACGCCTTGCACGGCAACGCGTCACCATCTGAAAGCATGGATGCAACGACTCCTGCTGGGGCGCTGCCGTGGTGCGCCTGCAACGACCGCCTGGCGGCGGCCTCGCGCGGCGTCCGCCGCGCGCTGGCACGGCGCCTGCGTCGTCGGCGATGCCAGGCAGGCGACGGGGCGCGCCTCACGAGGTCGCCCGCCGCGACGAGATAGCCCGCGCCCGCCGTCGGGCCGCAAGCTGGAGCCAAGTAGATGCGCCCGCCGCGCGCCCCCGCGCGCGTCGGAGCCCACATGGCACTGAGGAGGATGATGATGATGATGATGATGAGGAGGAGGAGGAGGAGGAGGAGGAGGAGGAGGAGGAGGAGGAAGAGGAGGAGGAAGAGGAGGGAAGGAGGAGGAGGCGGAAGAAGAGGAGGCGGAGGAAAAGGAGGATGCGGAGGAAAGCAGGAAAAGGAGGAGAAAGAGGAAGAAGAGGAGGATGCGAGGGAGGAGGCGGAGGAGGAAGAGGAGGAGGAGGAAGAGGAGAAAGATGAGGAGGATACGTTTTGGGACGTTCACCGAGCCGGCTGGGGTCACGCGGAGGAGGAGGAGGCGGAGGAGGAGGAGGAGGAAAATGAGGAGGAGGAAAACGAGGGGGAGGAAGAAGAGGAGGGGAGGAGGAGGCGGAGGAAGAGGAGGCGGAGGAAAAGGAGGATGTTGAGGAAAAGGAGGAGAAAGAGGAAGAAGAGGAGGAGGCGAGGAGGAGGAGGAGGAGGAGGAGGACATGAGGAGGAAGAGGAGGAGGCGGTGGAGGAGGAAGAGGAGGAGGAGGAAGAGGAGAAAGATGAGGAGGATACGTTTTGGGACGTTCACCGAGCCGGCTGGGGTCACGCGGAGGAGGAGGAGGAGGAGGAGGAAGAGGAGGAGGAGGTGGAGGAGGAGGAGGAGGAGGAGGAGTGGAGGAATAATGCATGAGGAATGGAGCGGGGCGGGAGGGGAGCGAGGAGGAGCGAGGTCCGATCTCAAAACGCATCCCCAGTAGCCCAATGGGGTCCGTGGAGGAGGAGGAGCGGGGCGGTCGGAGGATTGCGTCCGCCGCCGATGCATCGGCGCCGTCGGGATGAAAAACGTAGGGTTTCTCATCGGGCCCTGTCGACGATGCGTCGGCGGCGCGGCGCGATCCTCCGACCCCGTTCTACTCCGACACCACCTACGAGGCCTAGACCCTCGGGGGTCCTAAACCCGTGCGCGACGACGCCGCCGCCGCCACCGCCGCCGACGACGCCGCGGTCTTCGCGCGCGCTGGGGGGCCCCCCGAGAGGCTCCTCCTGCGGGCGGCGCCCCCTCCCCCCCTGGGGGGGCGCGCCTCGCCGTCGGCGTCGGAGCCCGCTCCGCGCGAGATCTGCGCGCGCGCGAGCGGCGCCCCCGCTGCTGCCGCTGGTGACGGTCCTTGAAACAAATCTTTGAAGAATCTTGGGACAAAAAAAACGCGCAGGTCACCACTTTGTTCGTCCGAGTCAGGTCGGCCAACCAACTCCACCCTGCACCCGAATCCCTCTTAGCTCATCGAACCGGGAGCTCTACGAGGTGCTTGCAAGCTCCAGGAACCTTCGCAGGAGCCCAGACGAGCTCGTCGGTTCTTCGAGGGCGCCTTCGCGAAGAACTTGGCTCTCTCGCGCCGCCCCCCAAGGGCAGAAGAGGAGGATGCGGAGGAATCGGAGCCAGACAACGAGCCGCGAAGAACTTCGCGCCCCCGAGGGCGCCCTGGGTATCTCAGCCTCGGGGTGCTGTCAAGCAACCGCGCCTCGCTAGAAGACCGCTTCAAGCACCCCCCCGTGGGGGAGCAATCCTCCTCCTCCTCCTCCTCCTCCTCCTCCTCCTCCTCCTCCTCCTCCCTCCTCCTCCTCCTCCCTCCTCCTCCTCCTCCTCCTCCTCCTCCTCCTCCTCCTCCTCCTCCCCCACCTCCTCCTCCTCCTCCTCCTCCTCCTCCTCTCCTCCTCCTCCTCCTCCTCCTCCTCCTGAGGTCGCAGGTCGCAGAAACGGACCCGGACGGGGGGGAGCACTCCTCGGCTGGCCGCTCCAAGGTCGAACCTCAGGCGGAACGAGCAAGAACTCTTCGGGCCCAATTGCCCACCGTGCAGGACCCAAAGAACATCGAACCAACACCGTCCACGGCCACGTAGCACGTCCTCGTAGCACGTCCTCACCGTCCTCGTCTGCCTCCACGTCCACGTCTTCCGCTTTCGCCCGTTTCCTCCTCCTCCTCCTCCTCCACCTCCTCCTGCTCCTCGTCCTGCTGCTGCTGTCGGCGGCGGGCCAGGGCGGAACGAGAAGGAACGGGCCTTTTCAGAAAGCGGTGGGGCTTCTCAGATGCCCTCGCGCCGTCTGAAACATTTTTTGAGCATTCTCCGATGGCAGAGCCGGCTTCACAGAGGCGCGAGAGCTTCTGAGAAATCCTGCCGCCTTCTGAAAAGGCCCGCGCCCTCTCACTCCCCCCGGGGTTCGCCGCCGATGCTCGTCCACGACCACGACCACGTAGCACGTCCTCCTCCTCTTCGTCCTCCTCGTCCTCGTCGTGGCCCTCCTCCTTCTTTTCCTCTTCCTCCTCATCCTCGTACATTTCTTGTTTAGCTGAGAATTTGACCACGTGCTGGTCCACCGCAACCGCCGCCTCCTCCTCGTCCTCCTCCTCCTCCTCCTCCTCCTCCTCCTCCTCCTCCTCCTCCTCCTCATCTCTCCTCTCCTCTGCCTCCCTCCTCCTCCTCCCTCCTCCTCCTCTCCTCCTCCTCCTCCTCCTCCTCCTCCTCCTCCTCCTCCTCCTCCTCCTCCTCCTCCTCCTCCTCCTCCTCCCTCTGTACGCTCGTCCCACTCGTCGTTGTGTGACAAGTGGCGTTTGAATCAGACGTCGCCTCTTGGACTGGTGCGTCGTCTCGGTCGTCATCCTTGCTCTCGCGCCCATCTTTCACGTCCTTCGCTTTCTCCTCCTCTTCCTCGTCTTCGCCTTTCCCGTCCTCGTCCTGCTCTTGCTGCTGCTGCTGTTCCTCACCCAAGATCCCGCCGTGCGTCCTCGTGGCCGCAAGTCTCATGGAAGACGCATGCTGAGCCTAGGACAGCAACGATGTCACCAATCATCTGGGCGCTGACAGTTAACACCCGCGCACTTTTCACACGACCGTTTGTTTCCAACCACCCAATGGTGTTGGGTAAATGAACCGTATCGAAGCCGCAACGCCCCGCTTTACTCCTCATCCCGCTGCCCAGTTCGTTACCCCTGTCCTTGCCATTGGTTTCCACATGCCCTCTCTTCACACGTTTCGTGGATCCACGAGGAATTCCACCGAAACCTTCCGGGGGATCGCATGCGGTCCTCTCCGACCATTTCGGCACACCCCTCCCACGTGTCGTGCCCCCACCTGTAGCTCCAACGAACCACCAAAAGTGGTGTAGCATGCGAAACGCCGACTATCTCGGCACACCTCTTACACGTTTTGTGGCCCCATGGGGAGCCCCGAAAAGCTACAAAAACGCTGTGTTGCACGCAGTATCCTCGTCCATTTCGGCACCCCCCTCACACAGTCCAGTCCACAGCAGCTTGGCCAGCTGTGCACCACCTGTCCGGCCGCGCCGCCCCAGCCAAAAGCCAGGGGGAGGGAGGGTTGAAACGCCGAGCGCGGGTAAGGACACCTGACGATTAGGGGGAATACCCCATGGGGGGAAAAGAGGGGGAGAAGGGAACTCCACTGGGAGCCAGGGGAGCTCCACTGGCGCCGAGGGAGCTCCACTGGCGCCCCCTGGTAGCGGTTGCATGCGGTCCCCCGACCATTTCGGCACACACCCCACACGCTTCGACGCCCCACTGGGGATGCAGAACGAGCTGGGTGACTGAGAACGTAGAAAAAACAATGGGAAGACAAAGAGTAAAGCCTCAAAGAGTCCTCCGGGGAGGCCTCTTGGAAGCATGCCGCGTCGACGAAGTCGCTCGGGGGGCTGTCTGCGATCGTCGGCGTCGCGCAGGCCTGGGAGCGACTCTGGCGGCTCGTGGAGCCCACTTGGGGGCGCTGGCCCTCCCATGCGGAGCCGTCTTGGATCACGGTTGGGAGCCCCAGGGGCCCGAAACACATCGGTCTGGACGTCCTCTTGGGCTGCCGTGCGGCGTGGGGATGCAGAACGAGCTCGACGAGTGACAACGTAGAAAACCATGGGACAAACACAGAGTAAGGCCTCAGAGAGCCCTCCGGGGAGGCATCGACGAAGTCGCACGGGGGGCTGTCTTGGGGTGATCGTCGGCGTCGCAGGGATCTTGGAACGTCCCCGACCGCTCTGTGACTCTACTGCCCTACTGGGGCGCGCCGATCCACGTCCCCCAGCGTGTGTGTGTATATATATATATACACATACATACTCGTTCCGTCTGTTTCGCGCCCTCCGCTTAACCTTGGAAATCACTGTGGCATCCCAGGATGTAGCACTGCCCGCCAAAACGCGTGCACGACACTCGTCGCAACGCCTTTATTCCCGGTCGTCTCGCCCCTCGTCCTGCGTGATCCTCCTCGTCCTGCATTGCCAGGGGAGGCCCTCATCGGAGGCCCAAAAGGTCCACGAACCCGAGACTGATAAACTACTCCGTATGCGTCGACTGGTCTAGAAACTTGGCATCGAAGACCAGTGCTCTATCCCCATCCTCCTTTCTGGGGCCGGCGGAATGGCGAAAGCCTCTCGAGTGAATGAGCTTCGCCTGAAAAAGGGTCTCTGGAGCGTTCTCCTGAAGCCCTCTCGGGGCTGCTGGGGACCTTCGACGCTCCCTCAGGGCATGAATTGGGCCTTTCGTGAGCCAACCTTGGCCGTCTTAGATGCACACTCCGGAAGGCCCACCTGCGCCTCAAAACTGCCTCCAAGAGGCCCCCGAGAGGTCCCCCCAGGAGATCCCAGCGGAAATCCAATAGGCCTTATACCGACAACCCAGGCACAGCGGTGGGATGGGCCGAAGGCCATTTGACACTTTGGGTTTGTCGAAAGTTCTGGCAGACCCAGGCCAACAGAGCGAGACTGTAGGCAGGAAGCAGACAGAAACTCCATCGGCACACACCATTGATCGTCTAGGGGGGTCTCCATGCGACTAGTGGAATGTTTGGGGGGGGAATGCGGTCCTGTTGGGGCCCTCTTCGGCTATCTTGGGCACCTATGGGCCCTCTTGGCGGTCTGTTGGACTGCCTGGTCCGAGTTGATCGGCAGCCTGAGCCGAAGGACAATTGATGACGGATCGGGTGAAGGGGAAACCAATCGAGATTCTCGCAGGCACATGCAGCTATGTCGAGCCCGTCTTGGGCCACCTTGCCCCTGCACTTCACCCTCTATCACTTGGAGGGAGCACTTCTGTCTTCTGTATTCAAGAAATAGCCTGTGGCATGCCGACCAACGTGGGATATATCGGGCGCATAGGCGAGCAAGCTCCATAATTGCGCACACGGTGGCAACACCAAAAGGGAGAAATACTGGCACACCTCTGGTAGTACGATGGTCTCGATGAGGGTACGCCTCGACCAAAATATGATTGCGGCGCGTGTGTTCGTCAATGTCGGTCGCTTATGATGAGTGACTTGTGCATTTGGCCACGTCGCGGCGCTTTACATCCACACTTTGAGTGCCGATCGAGTGTCGAATACAATGCATGCAAACTTGCCACAGCCGAGATCGCGCGTAAATTCCATCAAAGTGCACCGGACAATCGCGGGATGGCCTCCACCATCTGCATGCAGACGATGCCAAGGGCGAATGAGGCCAGGAGCCTGAGGTCCTGATACGAACATGTCTGACGCTCTCTCTGAACCGACTGTAGAATGCGTTCATCTCTCCACGCTCGTCTGCGCAGCACCTGCTATACCAACATAGAGAAGCCTGTGTATTAAACCAAACGTAAAGGAAGAAACAGCTGACATAAACATCAACTTTCGGAGCTCCGCGCGGATTTCTTGGATCTGCGCTGGGCCTCCCTCCGGCGCCCGCCCTGGTGCGCTCCGCGCGCCAGGGGGGAGGTCCAACGCCGATGTGTATGCAAGTTTTTTCTTCGGGTGATGAACGAACAAGAGCCGACACGTTCAGAACGCTCAAGCAACGGGCTCGTCGTCGTGCCGACACATCCGGAACACTCATGCATCGGGCACGTCTGTCTACTCACCCAGATTATCCTCGCGAGCCCCTGGGGGGGGGCTCCTCCTGCTTCCCGTGCTCGTGCAGTGCTCGAGCTGTCCGGTGGGCACGGCGCAAGTGCTGCCGCTGCAGCTTCGCCCCTACTCCCTGCTCCCCGCCCTCGTTGTCAAAAATATGAGCGATAAAGCTCTTGCGTCTTTGTCGGGCTCCTCCTCCTCCTCCTCCTCCTCCTCCTCCTCCTCCTTCCTGCTCCACCTCCGTCCTCCTAACTCTACTGCGCGCCTGCTCCTCCTCCTCCTCCTCCGCCTCCTCCTACTCTTTTCCTTGGGCGCCGGGAGGGAGCGAAACATGAGGGGGGGATAACTGCACTTCTCGGGCACTAGGAGGAGGAGGAGGGGGAGGAGGAGGAGGAGGAGGGAGGAGGAGGAGGAGAAGGAGGAGGGAGGCCCGTAGGGCCCCCATTTCTGCGGCTGCCTCCCCCTCTATCGCCCCCCCCCCCCCTTACGCGACGCCCAATTTCCGCCCTCCCCCACAGCCTCCGCCAAATCCGTCCTCCTCCTCCTCCTCTTCCTCCTCCTCCTCCTCCTCCTCCGCCTCCTCCCCCTCCTCCTCCCCGTCCCTGGCCGCGCGGGACGCCCAGGACGCTGCCTGCGCCAAGCTGGCAAGATGTACGAGCACACGCCGGGCTTCATCACGCATGCCCGCTGGCCCAGCGGGCCACGCCGGCCCAACGTGCCACAGGCTACGGTGGAAGAGGCGGAGGACGAGGAGGATCAAGAGAAGAGGAGCATCACGAGATGAGTGGGGGCAGATGGTGAAGCTCAAGCTGCTTCCTGCATGCGCAGCGGCATCGTCGGGCACCGAGATCCATGCGAGCAGATGCACACCGGAGCTCTTGCGAACTCCCCGAACACACTCTCCAGGGGGCAGAGGGAGCAGTGACAGGCACAGGAGACGGAGGGATGGCAAAGCCAACTTTGGTGCAGAGGCGTCCGTACATGCCCCCTCTAGTGCAGCAGCAGGCTACGGCCAGCTCGGAGATGCACCAGAAAGTGGCGTCCAAACGGCCCTCGAGGGCTGGCAAAGACGAGAAGAGGGGTGAGGGAGAGGACGGAGGATGGGGCGATGGGGAGAGGCTTATGGAACCTCTGAGCTCCTGCCAGCAAGCCCCAAGTGACCCCCCGAAGGCTGCATACCCCCTCGCCCCCTCCAAGAGGCCCCCCAAACAACTGCCCGGGAGGTCACATGTTATGTGCATCAAGGATGCTAGCCGTTAATTGCCATATCCCTTCGGCGTACGCTTAGATGGCACATGAATTGTTCCTTCTTCTCGTCTTTCTCCTCCGTCGTCGCAGCCGTCTATGGTCAGCAAATTCCGAATCCTTCTCCTCCCAACCCTCTCCCACCGGCATCTTCTCAATCCCCCCCGCTTCGTCTGCATCTCCTCATCGTCTCTCTGCAGGAACCTCTGGAACCCATCTGAAACCTCAGACAGCTTTCGAAGCCAGCAACAGACATCCCCCCCCCGAAACGTTCGAATCCTCCTTTTCCTCTTCCTTCTGTTCGTCCCACCGCACGTGGTTGGGACGAGTGGGGATTGAGGCGAAGGAGGAGGGAAGCAAGAAAATGGTGGGAGGGTGAGAAAGAGAGAGGCGGAAGAGGGGAAGGAGAGAGGGAGGAGAGAGGGAGGAGACAAGCGAGGTGCGCTCTCGCCATATCTGACATCCTGCCCCGCCCACCCATCCCTTCCGATTGCGCTGACTTGTCGATGTCAGCCGACGGGTGTCATAGAGGAGCTGAAGCACCAAAACGACCCACTCTAGCTTTGCGCAAGCAGAGATGGGGAGCTGCTGTAAACATTGGAGGAGGTGGAAGTGCCGGATGCGCAGGAGGATGAGCAAGAACATGAACAGGACGATGAGGAAGGAGGCGGAACAGCCGCAACAGCAGGAGCAGGAGGGACAGGAGGAGCTGGAGAACCAGGGGAATGCGGAGGGCAAACGGGGGCGCCAACGACGAGAAAAGCATCGGATCTAGAAATCAAGCCCACGCTGGGGCGAGAGCGTCACTCTGGGCGACGGGAACGACGCGCCGATCCTGAAACGATGCCAACGCTGCAGACGGAACTGCATTGGGAAATAAACAACACATGCTCTGGGTGACAACAAACATATGAACAAAAACACGTTTTGACATCCTGCGCGACGAGAAACCGCATGCGGGAGAAAGGCGAACCTGATCGGGCCAGATCCGGCGAGTGAGGGAATTCTGCAATATTCATCATTGAAGCACTGTGAGGCGGGTGGAGGGAGGACAACCTCCTACTCCTCCCTCCTCCTTCTCTTCCTCCTCTTCCTCCTCCCCTCCTCCCCCTTGTTCTTCTCCCTCTCCACCGCCTCCTAAGAACGGCACGCTGGGTGCGCTCGCGTCACATCCGACATCTTTCCCTTTGCGTTGAATCCCAATTCGCCGAGTCGAGTGTCGGATCGGGCCTTGCTCCCCGACATGCATTTGCAGAGCATGATCGTCGTCGGCGGCACGAAGAGAGACGTTGCAAGACGGGGGCAGGCAGCGTGTGCCCGTGCAGGGAGGTGGGGCAACGCTGGGGTGGGAAGAAGACGTGCGCAAAATGGCAACAACGCCGTGTAATAATGATTGGTATTGGACTTTAGGTGTATTATTGGTGTTTGCTTTTTCTCACTGACCCTGGTCTCTGGTGCTTATCATTGCTGACCGTTCTGGGCGTATGCCATTGATGTATGCTGTTGCGAATGCAATGACTGTTTTTGGTGCACGTCAATTTGGTATGTTGCTGGTGGATGCGCTTGATGTATGTGAGTGACGTCAGATGTTGGTGTGATGTGCTGATGTGTGTGATGTTGAAATGTGTTATTGGTGCACGTGTGGTATTGGTGCACGTGACCGTTGTACTCTTATGTGTGCATGATGCTGATGCCTATTGTTGGTGCATGTTGATGGGATGTATCCGTGGAACATGGTATTGATGTGTACCATTTGTGCATTCTCTTAATGTATCTTAGCGGTGCAAGATCTTGATGCGCATGCTTGGCGTCTGCTCTGTGTGTCTGTTCAAAAAGCCTGGGCGGTGCGACGTCGTGACGCGGGGAAAAATACACAAAAAGCGCTCACGTGTTGCCTGTTATCCCACAGACGCGTGTGTGTGCGTGTGTGTGTGTGTTTTCTTGTTTGTTGTGCGTGTGTTTCCAACAGAAGTGCGTTTTTCCAACAGTGTGTGTTTTCCACGGACGGCGTGACGCCTCCCTGGTGGGGCTGTCTGTTTGTGACGCCTGCTCGATCTGCTTCTCAGTATGTCGTCGGTGGACTATCGCGGAGCTCTGGGGCCTGGCGGCCGCGGTATACAGGGCGAGCGAGGCGGAACACCCAGGGATCACCCGGACTACGGCGGGTTCGTGTCGTGTCGACCCGGGCGTTGGTTTCTGACACCGTGGGGATCGTTCAGCCTTGAACGATCGGGCGTTTCCGAAACGTGAGCTCGTTTCGCATCGACCGATTCTGGGCCGCTGGCGGCGTTCACGGAAGAACGCCAGCGGCGGGGTCGCCGCCAGTCGACACGAAGCGAACCTGCCGTATTTGGGCCTGGTGGCCGCGGTACACTTTGCAAAATGCTTAAGACATCATGGGTTAAGAAACTCAGAGTCTCAGAATTTGAATAGAAACCCAGAATTTCTATTGAAATCTTCGGATTTACATGGATACATTAAGAATCATCGAGGCTCTGGCCGAAAACTCCAGTTTTCTTAAGCATCGCCTAAGGTGTATGCGAAGGCGAGGCGTGACGCCCAGGGATCACCCAGACTATCGGGGCCCGGAGGCCGCGGTACGGCGCTAAACCCCCCTCCCTGGCGCGCGGAGCGAGCGGCGCAGAGGCGCTGCCAGGGGGGGTCCAGCGACGATCCCAGAGATCCACGCGGACCTCCGAAGGTTTATTATTGAAGGGGCCCCAGGACACACAAATAAATACACACAAATAAACATTGTCCCCATATTTTCCCATATTTTCTGGGTTTCTGTCTTCCAACCCACTTCCCATATTTTCCCCTGTTTTCCTGGGAATCGACGATTCATTGTGTCTGTGTGTTTTTTCCCCTCCTGAATTATGCTCACGTCGCGTTGTGCCCTCTACTGAGAAGGCTACGAAGGCCTACCAAATATGGTCCGAGTAGGTGGGGTCGGGGGATCGCGCTGCATCGCCGATGCGTCGGCGACTTCTGAGATGCATGGAGAAGACGTCGGAATGGGGAAAATCGGACTCCACATCGCATTGTATCGCCAATGCATCGGCGATGCAGCGCGATCCTCCGACCCCATCTCGGAGGCCTGAGAGAACAAAACGGCACCGATACCGGCACCCCCTGGATCTCTTCTGGGGTGCGTTCCGACCAGAATTTCGAGGGGAATCCAGTCGTGGCTGCGAGGGCCTCCCGCGAGGCCCAAACATGCGAAAACTGTGGAAAGGTAGCGGTATCGACACCTCTTCCTCCTCTGATCGGGCTCCACTCCGCGCCCTATCGCCAGTGCATTGCCGATGCGGCGCGATCCCGCGACCCCATCTGCTCTGGCCCCATCTGGGAGGCCGTCAAAACAAACGCCACACGTTTGTATGACGTTTGCTTCTAATTGGAAAACTATTTTGCAACAACCAATCGTCACAGAAAACGCATGACGTTTCACATCAGTACGCTTGTTTATGGCATCCGCTAGTCGTAAGCCAACGTGTGATGCTCCATACCAGAATGCTTTGTGTGAATGCCGTCGCCGCCAGGGTTTTCTTCGTCGAGGCGGCGGCAAGGACGGCGGCGGTGCGGGCGTCCTGCCACATGGGCCCCCAGAAGTACGGCGGCGCAGGCTCATCGCCGAGGGCGTCGGGCCCGCCGCCGTGGGCGCTCCCTGACCGCCGAGTCGTCGTCGTGTTCGTAGTCGTCAGTCGCCGTCGCCGTCGCCGCCGTCGCCGTCTACGTCGACGCTTAGGACGTCGTCGTCGTCGTCCTCGATGTGGGTGTCGTGTTGTCGCCATCGTCGCTGTCGTCAGCGTGGAGGTTCCGGGCGTTCCCGAAGGGTCTCGCTGCCATGGGGGCACGGCCGGCCGCGGCACAAAGACTGGCCAGGAGGGACCCCTGCGAGGGGCCCTCGGACTGACATGGGCGGACGTTTGGCCGCCGCTGCCGTCGCGGTCGAGGTCGAACTCATCGGCGGATGGGTGGGCGGACTCGGCCGCTTCCTCCCCCTCTTCCTCGAGAGAAAGGGGACGGACGAGGAGAGAAAAAAAATAGGGAAGATGGGGACTGCATATTCCGTTGTAAACCGTTGAGACCTGGCTTGTTCCGCCCGTTGAGCGAACACCGTGTGAACGTGCACAATCGATCTGTAGACTTGTGCTACTAGCAATTGGGTGTCCTACGTCAGCGTGTTGTACGGTGGGTCGATCATCTGGAGCGGTTCCAGAACCCTTGCTGACGCCCACGATTGTAACCGTGGCCTGTTGTCCCAGAACCCATGCTGGCATCAAATATGCAGAACGTCTCTCCCGACCTGCTAGGCATTGTGTTATCTGAGCGCCGTCGATTATGCTTGATCCGCCGTTCAGGAGGGCTGCTTTGCTGAGGATCGGCATAGCGGTCCGGACACTACCGTCGACGAATGGCGCAGGCGACGTTCGAAGGACGCCCCACGCGAGCGCCACGTCTCGAAAGACGGCTTTGAGAAGGGACCGCGGACCACTTGTTGATGTGCTGGCCGGCGGGAAGGAACGGCTGGGGAGAAGAAGGAACGTGGATGCGAGAGAGGATGAGGACGATAAGGAGGAGGAGAGGGGGGAAGGAAGGATGAGGACGAAGGGAGGAGGAGAGAGGGAAGGAAGGAGGAGGGGCGAGCAGGGATGAGGACGAAAGGAGGGTGAGGAGTGAGGAAGGATGAGGACGAAAAGGAGGGGGAACATCGACGCTTCCCCAAAAGGGGGAAAACCGTGCTGACCTGCTGGTCCTCCGGAGGCCTGCGGGAGAAGGAAGAGGAGGACTTCGATCTCCTTCAAGCCAGCCAAGCCTGCTGGGGCCACTCCGCAAGCAACCGTCGACGAGCTTCCGCGTGCGACCACTTGCTATTTCTCTCTCTCTCTCTCTCTCTCTCTCTCTCTCTCTCCCCCCCCCTCCCCCCACTTCCCTCTCCCCTCCTCCTCCTCCTCCTCCTCCTCCTCCTCCTCCTCCTCCTCCCCTCCTCCTCCTCCTCCTCCTCCTCCCCTCCTCCTCCTCCTCCTCCTCCTCCTCCTCCTCCTCCTCCTCCTCCACCCCCTCTCCTCCCCGGTTCGCCCCTACATCCTCCACTTCCCCCTATCTCCTCTCACTGCTGAACATCTTCCTATCCCTTCTCTTCCAAACGACATTGCTCTCGTCCCCTCTTCCTTAAACTCGCCCTTCACTTCCTATCCCTCGCCCTGTCCGTCCTCTTGCCCTCGATGCGCAGCTGCCGGGATGAAGCAGGCAGCAAGAAACAAAGAGCAGGCGACCCACAAGGGGCGCGACTTTCTCCATGGAATGTAGAGGCGACGCGCTTGCGTTGGCCTCCCCAGACTTGGCTGCCAGCTTTCAACGAAGAGCGGGATGCCAGTCTGCAGCATAGAATCGTGCATGCGACAACGTGACATGGCCTTCTGTCCTCCTAGATCACACGCCTCCTTCTGCTCTCTCCTCCTCCCTCCTCCCTCTCCTCCTCCTCCTCCCTCCCTCCCTCCCTCCCTCCATCCCTCCCTCCCTCCCTCCCTCCCTTTTCCTCCTCCTCCTCCTCCCTTATCCCTCATCTCATTCCTCCCGCTCCCCCTTCCCTCCCCGATCGTGCCTCCACCTCACGCCTCCCGCTCCCACTTGCCCTCCCACGCCCCTCGCGCTCCCCATCAGCGTCCTCCTCATCCCTTTTTTCCTTCACCCCTCCTCCTCCTCCTCCTCCTCATCCTCTTCCTCCCTCTCCTCCTCCTCCTCCTCCTCCTTCTCCTCCTCCGCCTCCTTCTCTTCCTGCTCCTCCTCCTCCTCTTCCTCCTCTTCCCCGTTCGCCTCCTCATCCCCCCCCCTCCCCCGTTCATTCTCCCCCCACCCCGCTCCTCCACTCCTTCACCTCCGCCCTCCCCCTCTCAAATGTTTCCTGCCTTTGTTTTCCCCCCCTTCCTGCGACGCGCACGGTGTGCTTTTCGGACGGTGGGGGGAGCTGACACGCAAAGCCATGACAGTATGATGCAGCATCGGGGGAGAGGAGGAGAGAGAAGGAGCGAATCACAGCCTACGCAGGTTCTGGCTAAGCGGGATTCACTATCTAGACAGGTTCTGGCTGCAGTGAGTGAGAGACTGGCGTGCCTCATTATCACCGGCCAAGTACTGGCATTCGTTCAAGCTGTGCATCGCTCAAGGTACGCCTGCAAGATGATGCGAATCCTGGTCTCGACGATCCGCGCATCAACACCCGAATACGCATCGGTTGCAAAGTAAAGAACAACAACATTGGGCGCCCATGTTGAAACCATAGCATCGGAGTCGGGCCTACGTCGTATATTTGGAGGCTTGAAACACACATACACACACGCGCACACACACAAACACACACACACACACACGCACACACACACACACACTCGCACGCACGCACGCACGCACGCACGCACAACCACACACACAGACCCACAACACACACACACACACGCACGCACGCACGCACGCACGCACAACACACAACACACAACCCACAACCCACACCACACAAC